CGGTGTAAACCAGTAATCCGGTGTGGTGTTGTGAAATTAAAATCTCAAATCCTGACAGCTTTGTTTGTTAATGTAGTAGTAGTGAGCAGGAAACAATGACCCGGCCTCCGAAGATGCTTTAGTATCACATGATCAGTTCTCAAGGTGGTACGGAGCAGATTCTATTTGGGATTATAAAGATTTCGCAACTTGTGGCGTGTGTTACAGAGTCATTTATCTGGCCTACTGCTGTGTTGTGACCACAACCGATGTGGTGCCCGGTAATTGTTTAAAATATAATTATTATGATATAACTTCATGTTTAATATCCTGTTGAGGTTACTATACCGAAAGGTTCTCACAAAGTCGTGGCACAACCCAAATATCAGAACACCGTATCTCATTGAGGGCATTACCAGGGACAATGGTGGCTTTACTGGTCAAAATAACTAACATTTTACAAAACCAGGGAACAAAGCAATCATTCCCCATGTGGGACAATTCTCTCGTTTAATAGGCATTTAGACGCCCTTCCAAAATACTAAAATACCTCACAATGCCGGTGTACCAGGACCAATAACACAAATTACCATAATCACACTAACAAGACTAGCAGTTACAAATTATAGGCCCACCTCCCATACTATTCATAGAGAAATATGGACTCTAATGAACCTTTTTTCCAATCACAGATATTGCTCAATTGTGTAAGAATTGATTTTCCATCTGCCCCCCCCCCCCCCCCCCCTCTATAATAGTCACCTCAGCGTACAGTGGCGATAGCGCAAAGGCTCGGTTTCATATGCCACCAGTGCCATAATGTGATCGGGAAAACCATTATGATAAATCGAATTAAATGACATTGTTGGTGTCAGAGTGGTGACATGTGCGAGGTGTGAGAGGATACAGGGTGGCATTGGAAAGGTGCTCTCATTATTACTCCCCATTACTGGAGAGGACACATAACACACACGGGGGGCTACCCAATCAGCGCTCCAACTCAATCTTACTTGACACCCAATAGTACTTGTGGGAGAGCAGAGAGCTAGAACTGTTGTGTGGTGGTGGAGGTGGTGGCATTGTGTCCAGTGGAGAGTTAGTGATCCTGCCACACAAACTCTCCTGGCACTTGGACAAAACCCCCAAATATTCTGTTAAACTCCTGGCACTCAAACAACCCCCAAATATTCTGTTAAACTCCTGACACTCAAACAACCCCCAATATTCTCTCTCATCTCACAGCTCTACTCTCAAATAACAGGAGAGGTCACTTGACTCACTGGTCAGTAGTCGTCAACAACAACAGGCCCGTTAAACAGCCCTCTCCCTTACAACATCCTCTCCCTTAGTTTTCTATAACTCATCCATCTTATGGTTTGAGAGAATTTTCAGAACAAAAGCAGAGCAGGCTTTTCACCAACATGTGATATTGTTCGCGCTGCAAGTCATAGAGCTCCAACTCGTGTGTTATTTCAAACTGTATTATCTCGCGTCGAGTGTGAGGTCTGTCAAAAACTCTGCCCTTGAATTGGATTATCAGGACTCCTATTGTAAATCGCCTCTACAAAAATCACGTGACATCGGTGCCTCTCTCATTGGCTGCTCCAATGGTCATGTGATGATTGGAAGTATTTCCATTGGGTTGAATGCCGTATTATTTGAATTTGACCCTATCAATAGTAACATGATCGGAGTTGACAGACTGATGTCAGACAAAGCAGCAGGCTTGAAAAACGCGGCTCGGGCAGGCCAGGTGTGGGGTCCCATTCAGTTGACTTGGCCGCATCTTTACCGACAGCCATTGTCAGCTCGCAGCTAAACCACATTCATCAGCCCGGGGATAATAGAGAGCTGTTGGATTGAAATGATGATCTTACTTTGTGGACGGAGGGGCGGCTAATGTTAACTGTAATACAATTCTGAAGTAGTACAGCTGTTTGTAGAGCTCGGGCGGGACGAATATATCCTAATAGTGTGTGCTGGAGCTGGAAAAGTTTGAAGAAAAAACACGTCACGTGGTTTTGTGTGGAGCAGTTGTTGCACAATAGAGATGATCGTGTAACAAGTGCTAATGTCTATTCATTGACCATCGCATATCAGTGATACTTTCGGTCCGAACCCATCAACCGTGCTGTTGTACAAACCCTACAATTTAAAAGAAAATAAGGTCCAAGTTAGCGTTCCATCGATAAGTCACGTGGTGACTTTCATAACCAATCAGATCCCTGGGCTTCTCTAACAGCACTTTATTTGGCCAGGCAACCGATTGACCCTGCGTTACGCAGCACGACTTTTTAACACCCACCTACAATGGGCATGGAAAGTTCCAACAAGGTTATCAGATCTAAGATGTTGTTTTTTCACGAGGAGAGTCACGGCCTAACAAACATGTGCAAATTGGCGAGTAGTATGCTGATATACGCTCTCTTTGTGTTGTGCTAACACTTGTTGGCCAGACAAAACAATATTCTTTTTAACTACATTTGTAGCTACTCCAGCGCTACTTGATGGACTAGACTTGCGAAGTACTGTTTCTGACTGCTCTGAACGGTGAAGTCTGGCTGAGGAGATATTTACAGTGAATACAGATGCCGAAAATATGTATGACATGATAGTAGAAGCTGTAGTATGGATGAACGGTGGCAATGATGCGGTTCTAATGCTTTAGCAATGAGGCTTAAGTGTGCTAGGTTGTCCCTGGAACCGGGAATAATAAAAAACAGAGCCTGTCTTGCCAGAAAAAATTCCCAGCCAGGAGGTCTAACTTATCGCTACTTGTCCATTTTCCGGGATTAAAACTCTGAGAATTTTAACACCTGTCGTTTGGGGTGACACGTGACCCTTCCAAGGACATTTCCACCCAAATATTTCAACAACCTCAGAAGGTTTCTTGACAGAACAATTCTGAGAAGTTACGGTACATTTAACTTCTGTCAAACCGTCCTGTATACTTTCTCAACCGCAGACTAAACTGGTAACTACGTGTTCCAAAATATCCTCAATACATCATAATACCTCTGCTATGGCCGCCATTTATCACTCTTGGATTTTTAAACGTTGCACGACAGGTTAAAGAATAGCTCAGTATTTTCTGACATGAGGTGTTTCGCGTAAGGTTCACGTCACCAATCTCAAGAATGTCAGTACAGATAGCTGCAAGATTCCAGACATTATTCTGAAGCAAGCATGAAGGGTGGTTTAACACTGCATTCGCAAATATAGCACACTCCGCTCACCTCGTCTATTTCCCGGGTCAGGCTGAATTGGCGTATCAGGACAGAACCGACAGTAGGATACCTCGGTGGTTGAGAGGGCTCCGTCAGTTGCACGCATACTCAGGACGGCGTGGTGGGCCGGGCACCGGTTAAACCGGATCAAGCCAACCCGGAAATGGAGGGTTTGTCAAGGTAACAGCTCCTCCCTGGATCTCATGACACATTGACACGTTAATTGAAACCAATCAACCCAGCAGGAAATCAGCTTGCAGCCAGTCAGAGACAAATTAAATTGGCTTGGAACCAATAGGAAGGCGAGAAGATCGTCATGTGACAAAAGGGGCATTCTGGTAGTAATGGAGCACGGAAACGCTGTTTAATCAGAATTAAACGGGGCAAAATCCAGTGGGGGAGCAAGTGCAATCACAGTCTGACAACATTTAGACATATAGGAAATATTTTGACCAGCTCCAAAGCTGATGTGTCATACATAAACCAGTGCTAACATCTCCTCAAATTATCAGCTATTATAAAAATATTTGCCCTTAATTGCTCCATATCTCGCAACTTTGATTCCCTGGCACCAATAATCTCCAACCAGCAGTTTACCAGCGTTACCTTTCGAAACCTAATAACTCACAAATCTCTCTGTTTAAGGACTGAAAGTAAAAACGTCCCTCGCCCACTCAGCTTAGACAAATGCAACGTGTGTTTCTCACCAAAATGAGGGGTTTCTCCGGAGATTATTAAGAGAGGTTACTACAAACCCTGTCAGACAGTTCATCCATTAAAGAGTGACAAGTTGGCACATTTCATGTCAGACACCATATCTACCTGCTCAAATACGGCGCTCAACATGTGGACTCTCCACTTTTATAAGGGAACCTTCAAGAGTTCTTCATCACACCACTATACTAAACGTATATATATATTATATATTGTAATACTCTGCAGGAGCACTAGTAATACTTATTATTCTGACAATTACTACTATCTGATAGTTGTGGCGGAGGCAATAATTCCTAATAATTGGAATGATTATTGTCAATAATTACAACTCAATGGTTCTTGTAGCAGGATATTAGCGTGATATTGGACTCAGCAAATCAAATTCTTTCACTCATAACACTGTTATGACATTGTCAGTTTACGCTGCACTTATAACAAGCCAAAGAGCACTGATTGGGTACCTTACATCACGTGGTTTTAAAGGCGGAGTTTGATTCGCTGGTCAGGATTAATCCAGGATTGGAGGATGGAAAAGCTGGAGTCACGTGCGAATTAATCATTTTAATAGCAGGCGGACACGAACACATCGCTCCAAGATAGAAGGGGAGGTGAACAAAAGAAGATGATATTAGATTAGTAGATATATTGTCACGAAGTGTATCGAGAGATAAGATAAACAAAATAATTGATTATGTTATTGTTGTAAACAGAGTTTGATAACACGATGTGGCGACTACCCAGTCACAGTTCACCCACCCCCATATCCGTCCAATAGAACGGTTCAACACTTCTAACCTCTACCATTGATTAGTTTCATTAATACCATCAATCACTTCAGAATGAATGCAACGCAACTTCTCAAACTTTCCAACTCAACCAATTGGCTGATCAATCGCTGGCGATATGGGCTGCTTCCTTGCTAAGAGATGCTCAAACTGCATTATAAACTAGGATTAATCTACGCTTTTAAAATAAAAGAAATATTGAGTATAGTGTTACGTAATATGTGATATGGGCCCTATGATATAGCCCACCAAAGTGAATCATTTGATAATGAGACAATAAAAGTGAACTAACCGGAGTGGAGGGGGAAGTGGGAGATTTGCTCCAGCAATGTTCCTCCCGTCTCATGGGTATGTTCAGTTTTATCCTCTTGTTCGCCGTGTTCCGGATTGTTCCATGTCCACGGTTCTGCGCAGCCGCTTCGTTCATCATCGGCTGCAAGATACGCCTCCGCGCGTTTATGAACCTGTAAAATCAGGGCGGTTATTGACCTGGCATTGAACAAGTTTAAAAAGTGTTCGAGTTATCAATAATAAAAACAAGTTTTTGAATTAGACCTGAAGTCAACTGTTAAGTCAACCGTAAAAAAACAGGTTTGTGATTATCTTTGCCCCTAAAACCCTGTTATTAATTGTAACCCTTGCTATATTTAACCCTCATGTCCCATTTAGCCCAAAAACCAGTAAACATGTTTCTAGACACTAGGCACAGGGTGGTTACTAGGGTGGTCACTAGGCAAAGGGTGGTTACTGATCGCGCTGGTGATTTCCACTACATATTATCATGCTAGAATTAATCCGTGTGAGATGCCACCTCCCTTGAATTTTACTTAAAAATTATAAAATAGAAGGTCGTTTGACGATCTGTTATCAGTCAAACAAATTAAATTATGTCCCTTTATCAAGTGGCATTGGTGAACTGCAATTACCTCCTCTATAATTAGAGGAGTAATCAAGATTCTGGTAGTGTGTACTATTGACAAAACAGCACAATTACCCCGAATTACACACTTTGCAGCTCACAAGGGCAGATAACAACATTTCACCGGCCGCTGAACTCGGATTTAAACAATGACATTGATTTGATTGCAGGATGAGCCCGAAGTCAGAGCGACTGGAGGATGCCGTGAACCTGCCCAGAATCCAGGTCCAGGATAACGATAACGGTAACACAATGGTAGAATGGCATGTCCTCCGCCCGGGGTTTTGTACCACTACTCATAATTAACCCTAATTATAAACCCGAGCCTTATCGAGTGGTAGGCTTTCTGGAGCCCTCCCTCAACCATGACTCCGTGACATTAATTCAAAGTGCAGCGACCACGTTGGATGATGGGTCCATGTCAGGTGTCGGTCGTGTCGGTCATGTCAGGTGTCGGTCGTTCGTCTAGTCCATGTTATTGACAGAAAAGGAAGGAGTATTTACCATGTGGGACTTGAGAGCCGGCTGACTCACACAAAATTGGACATGCGGGTAATTGATCTGTCTGGTTGGCAGTACTCTGACACTTGAATGCTAAATAATGGAGATAAATTTCCATGACTAGTGTCTAAAAAAGAAACCACAGGTAAAAGAGTACCTAATGTGGGCCCTTAGTTTGTTATTATACACTTGGGTGGCAACACTTAGAATCGGCAATACTTGCGGCTGGAAAAGTTTGGGCCGACAAAGTTATGCAAAATATGTCGAGGAAGTGATTATGTGAGTTAGCAGTCAGCACTTAAATCTCAAAACTCACCAGTTGTTGACTTGGAGGATGGTGAGGCCTGTCTGCTGGGCGATCTTCCTCTTTTCATCTTCCGACGGGTAAGGGTGCTGAAATATTATTATAAACATTATAAACATATTTGGTCGCATTCATTATTATAAACAGTCCCAAAGATTCAATATGAAAAACGTATGAAAACGGGCTATCAGTGTTTAATCTAATCGATATGACTATAAGCGTAAAAACTGAACATCAACAATCGCCGATATATTATAATATATTGAAATATGATTTATAAATGAGAAATTCAAAAATGTGTTCTGCAGAAACTAACCCCGAGATGTTTGAACAGCCAATCCTTCATCTGCTCCGTCGCTGCCTTGGGTAGAATTCCACGACGGGAAGGACTCTTTTTGGGGGCTGGATTCCAGGCATACTTGCTGAGCTGCTCGTACTTGTACTGCATATCAAGGGCGGTGTTCTGGAGATGCGGGGCTGGTAACTGAAATTATCATATTTCGTTAATAATACCTCGACAACTTATTATCGTAACTTGGGCTTGCATCTGTGAATTTCTGTGGATGATGATTTCTTGAATTAAAGTGAAACAATTTCATTGGCTGATAGAATTTGGATGATCAAAAGACTGAGTTCTGATTGGTTCGATTAATTAGCTGATCAACTGACAATATTGGCAGGTTTTCATGTCAAATGATCAATTCTGTCAAATTGAGACGGCTTCAAAAGATATCGATCAGTGGCACCCTTCACATTAATATTTAAGATCGTCGCCAAGTATGAATATCTTAATAGCCGTATCCAGAGATCGTCACCTCTGCTTAATATAGGTTAGTTAGTTCTAGGGAAGTGGAGAGTGAGAGTGAAGGGAGCATTAGAACATTATAATATATAAGGTATCTGAAGATTTCGCATTTTGCACACATTACAATTATTATCATATTGATGTTTCATCTTTACTCCTATTAATAAAGGACGTTTTTGCGTTAATACATAGCAAGGGTAAACTCATCAAATCTTGAGAGCTTATTGCAACATTTACCCTCGCACATAGTAATAGCCCTATCCCCAATAATCAACTGACAGATTGAAAGTTAAAATCTTTAGCACTCAAAGTTACAATTTGACCACAGCATTTGTCTAACTTGACAGAGTCGTAAAATAGAGGCGAACTCTGTTTAAAAGAGCACGTCCACCCACACTCTCCGCCAAAAATTGAGTTTTATATGAATATGATTTTAATGGACCCTGTCAGTTCTTGTTGAACGGCAATATTTCGTGGTATTTTGTGGTGTCTGAAAATGATATCAGACAAATAGAAAACAAATTGTTTGAATTTCTTGTCGGACAACGCCCCAGCTTTAAAAATCACGGCTAGCTCACAAAAACCACTGTTACTCACCTTCTTAGCCGTTGTAAAAAGTCAAAGGTCAGTCCACTAAAATTAAACGAGCTCGAATTCACGACGAAATTATGGCAGAGTAGGTGCTTTTATAGGAAGTTTGAGGTAATCTTCCCGCCACCTTAACCGTGCAACCAGTCAATTTGTCTTGTCTGAGTGTCGAAAGCTTTAACCACGTCTTCGCCGACATATCAGCTCCGAAATATCACTAATTACTACTCAGCCTAATTCGCCCAGTCTCACTTTACCTCAAACTTTACTCTTAGTAACAGTTTGCGATGTTAAATTTCCCACCCAGTCTCTGATCATATCGCACTCAACTCTCAAGCACTTAAGATACGACCACTCTCACCAATCATTGATTGATAAACTTTTGGCGGCGCCAGTAACGGCTAACCGGCTAGCGGGTAAAACATCACAGATAACTTTTCAATGATAAGACGGTCAAATGGGTCCCAGATTATTCATCAGACGGAGATATGAACTGAGGGGAGAGATGGATTTGGTGCTGTCTAGTCGGAACAAGTGCCAAGTAATGGTAAACTTGACTCTCTCTCTCTCTCTCTCTCTCTCTCTCTCTCTCTCTCTCTCTCTCTCTCTCTCTCTCTCTCTCTCTCTCTCTCTCTCTCTCTCTCTCTCTCTCTCTCTCTCTCTCTCTCTCTCTCTCTCTCTCTCTCTCTCTCTCTCTCTCTCTCTCTCTCTCTCTCTCTCTCTCTCTCTCTCTCTCTCTCTCTCTCTCTCTCTCTCTCTCTCTCTCTCTCTCTCTCTCTCTCTCTCTCTCTCTCTCTCTCTCTCTCTCTCTCTCTCTCTCTCTCTCTCTCTCTCTCTCTCTCTCTCTCTCTCTCTCTCTCTCTCTCTCTCTCTCTCTCTCTCTCTCTCTCTCTCTCTCTCTCTCTCTCTCTCTCTCTCTCTCTCTCTCTCTCTCTCTCTCTCTCTCTCGTAGTAAAGTTTAAGTATCCTGGTTCCCCGGATCCTGTGAGATGATACCAGTGTGTACCATACTTGACGATGATACCACCTATCACTATCAATTTGGTGACTACGTCCAATTTAGAGAACACCTTGCAGAAACGGTGACGGGAAAAGTTCATCATCTGAAATTCTCTCAGAATCTAATCTTTATATCAGTATTTGATTTATGATACGCCATATTGCCGCACAGCTTGCCTTACTAATAATCCCCTCTAAAGTACAGTCACTCAACGTACCCTGCTCGATAAGAGAGCCAGCAGCTAAATATCTCTAAATACTTTTTGTTTATACTTAGCAGGTTATTTCCTAAACACCAAGCTGCCACATTGGCGGACTTGGGTCACGTGGTCTCTACCTCAGATCCAATTGGTCACCATAGGAACACACGTGACAAGGGAACGTGTCCTCGATCTGGCTTGACAATTTAATGACATTTAGTGTAGCAGTGACATGCAGGATGGCGGAGCGGAGAGTGGATTGCCCGGGATCTAGCTCGTTGTAAAAACATTATTCTAATCATCTCCCCGATTAGATTGTACGGTCCGATGACAGCTGTAAACAAACAAAGTTCAATTAGTCAGATTGTGGGGCAGCTATCACACACGCTAGCTCTATCATCAAGAGATAGAGAGAGTTGATGAGTGATGTCAAGTTCCAACACCACCTGCCCTTGCTCCCCTTGTCCCTTTTACACTATATCCTGAAAACTCAAAACCGGGCCTCATACATTTACAGGTACCAGAGTATCATTAAATCAATATCTCAATATAGCTGGGAGTCACGCCGGATAGGACCAGTAAAAGAGAGATAAGGAAAATGTCACGTGGTTACCAATATGGTTATTTTGGGACACGTGACCAGCTTGTCAGGGACTGATCGCGGCAATCATTATGAGGGAGCAAAACCAGCGCATTTTATTATTGGATTGGGCGCTTCACACAAATCTCCGGAGCTAAACTGCAACACTTGTATGGGGTCAGGGTGACAGGGTCTCTTTTACAAATGTCATATAACTGCTCCCGTCAGATATCGCCAGATTAATTGAGGCAGAGAGAGGGAGAGAGAGAGATATATACATTTACTAAGTCTTATGTTCTCATATCTAACAAAACTTGGTCACTTATGATGATTGGTCCAGTCCTGGAAGCCTATGAGAAAGTTGCGTTATTATGCCGTTATCATTATATAAACCTTCGAGACGTGGCGGGTTAGGATTTTTACTCAGAAACGTTGACGCACAAATTTGGCGGAAGTAACGGCGTTATGACAGAAGAAGCAGTTGAACGTCAATCACTAGTTATCTAGGTTCATTGTTCAGAATCTAAAGAGCAATGTCTCATATGTCAAGATCGCCGCCTCCGCAGTAATAGGTTGGTAAATATTAAACAGTGCATGACAGTGCACTTTAATAAGACAGGTATTATTACTGTGGTTTTGTCCGTGGTTGACGGTTGTGATGGAGGAAGGGAGATTGTGAGGAAGAACTAAGGAGTTTTGTAAGTTGAAGCTGCAGTTCCATTTATTTCTGGGGTACTTAAAGAGGGAGAAAGTTGGATGTCTTTTTTCCGTTTCGGGGCCGTTACACCGACAGACTTCACATGTAAAACGTTGTGGCTAATTGAATTTTGAAGGGTAATAGAGTGAGAAAAAAGGGTATTTTTAAGAACATCTATCAGACAATTTGAGTATTATATCATTTTTACGGTACTTTTATGTTAATCGCAGCGTTTAACCCGGTCATTATAAGATAAACTAGGCTACTATCCTATATTTCCTCAACCGCCGACAATTACTTCGTCCACAGCTGATTTTAAGTGCCCCGTGATATTTGACCTTCATAATTCGAGTATTTTATAACAGAATAATAGTAAAATCTCTGAAAAATCCTCGGCTTTACAGATAATGAGTCTGGGTAATCCAGCACATGGCCCCCTTGCACCCAACAATTTTGTTTTTATAATCACCGGGAATGGAAATACTGTCATTCCACTGCAGTCACGTGATAACAGTAGGTAGACACGTGGGCTCACCCAGATGGTCACACGGCCCTCTACTCGCCTCCCCATTGGTTCTCCGCTGTCATTTGATTGTTTTATGAACAGCTGAAAGCCTAATGTTGTGCACTGACAAAGATGACTGCAGCTCATCCAGAAGCTCGACTCGTGTTATTAACCTTTCACTAATGTGTCTTTACAGGAACTTAAGTATTTGCGGGCCCGGTCTCCACGACTAATAACAGGGCGCCACGCGTGCTCGACTGCTCAACTGTATTCGCTAATTTTTCTATTTTATCATCTACTGACAGGTGTAAAGCACAATTATAAAAGACCCTGTGATCAACTGTCACCTGCTCCGTGAAACTCGTTCAGCTCTCTGATTGGCTCCCAGTCCTCATCATGCCCGCTGATTGGCTGATTTAACCACGTGACACCAACAGGGTCAGCTCTAAGTAGCAGCACGATTCTTAGGACGGACTCAGAAAATAAAATAAAGAACAGCTCTCCTGACGCGGCCCATTGTTTGCCTTGTAAAAATCAAGTGACACCCGGGAGATGTTTACAACAGGTATTTTACAGGCCCCCTTCTTGACAAGGTGGTATTAATAATGCACTGTATTTGTAAATCGAAAATATTGAACAACCGTAGACCGGCCATTACCGTCAGTATTGTCGCAATGCTAAAAACCAATCAGGTGGCCTTATTTCTGAGAATAGCCAATCAGATCACGGTATTCTGGCCAGGTGACCTTTGACAGGACATCCCAAGCTGTGTGCTGGAACGTAAAAACAATCTGCCGATTTGCTTCGGGCAGTGTTCAAGAAGTATTTGATATAAATAAAATCCATTATATTAGCAGTGAAGTATTTGAGTGAGATGGCAATATAATGATATAGTCAATTTATTGATTCGTGAGAGGGGCAATGAATAAATCATGTTGCACCGCAATCGGAGGGCGTTAAAAAATGAATAAAGATAAGGTCGAACATGTTTTTACTTAAAAAGTTACCTCTATTTTGTGAGTCGTGCCCTCCTCTGAGACGGGATTGTTGATCATGCTTTCAAACATATTGATGTCTGAAAATAAAGGTGTGGGGTCACAAACAGGACATTTCATCATTTCAATATTTTAATGATTTTAAAATTCTACAATATCAATCCAAAATAATGTAACGCCTCAGCATCTGTACTAGGCGTGAACAGTTTTAGTTATTTGAGGAAAAAACTTGTACTGTGTACTTGCTTGAGAAATAAATTGGACAGCAAAAATCATAGAAGGCACGTGCCATACTTGATAAAGTCTGCTTTTAAGCACGATCAAACAAGAGAATATATAAAGACGAACGCGACTACCACTGTAAAAATAATATAATGCTTTAAGTGTTAACCCGCTAGTGCCTGACGACTGACAAGTTTATAAGTGATTAGTAAGCAAACGGTTTAGATATTGATTGATATGAAATTTCTTGCGACTGAATATGGTCAATTTAAATTTCCGAGTGAACCTTCAAAAGCATCAAAATACAGTCTTGTGAATATTTGTCATACGCGTCCTGTCTCGTGCGCACTCCGTCAATCAGCAAACATCCACCAAAAGTAATGAAGAATAAAGATGTAGCATTATAACAATCTAAAGAGGATTCTGTTAAACGGACTCGCAAGTAAACGTAATACTAAAAAGCCTGTGCGACCATACTGAGTATAGAATATAATGCACTGACCATATCTCGAAATATGCTCGAACTATATATAAGTTCAACACAGAGCCATGCCAAGAAAAGCCTTAACCATCCTGATCCTACTCCTAGCGATGCTACCGAATATCACTGTCAAAATCCCTGAACTGATCTATCGAAATGCCATGATTTCGGTAGATCCGGTAACCACCCTCAACTACAGAGAAAGTCGCAATTTCCATCTTCCAGTCCAATTTTCATTAATTAGGCATAGTGTGGGCAGTAGTTTAATGAACATTGGCATTTAATTTAGGGGAAATAAGCGCCAATGAGAGGTCTCAACTCTCAATAGCCACCGCCCACTGCACCTCAACAAACCATATAAACTAACACCCTGTGTGTAACTGAATGTGCTTACCCAATGCTAAGTAAGCACTGTAGCCAGTGTGTGTGTTTCTGTGTGTTCTTAGCACTGTACAACTATCAAGTTGCCACCCCTCAAGGATTCGACACATCGGATTCAGACTTAACTTGTACTGTTCTTTTGTTTGGGAACCCATGATTGTTGGTGAAGTTTCAACGTGGTGCTTTGTTGCCGCATCGAATCTTAGTATTATCCAACGTACACTAGAAATGGTGACTTCTTGACTATTCGTGAATATTCTTGTCAAGTGTACTTGTTATTGAAGACTGGAAGACTCCTTGTTTTACCTCAATAAACAATATTTTCCCAAAAATATCAAACCAAATATGCATAAATCAAGGCTCGAGAGTGCTCCAATAGTTTTACAGGTTTTCTGCGTATGTTTTGGTGTGATTTTGATATTTAGCGTAATTGTAAGCCAGAAAAACGTCTAAAAAGTTGAATTTGAGGGTCGATTTGAGCCTTAATGGGACCTAACCTGATTTTATACAAGTCGCAGATGAATATCTGATAAATGTGGAAATTTGGGCCAGGGTGATTTATTTACCAGTGGCTGTTTAAGGGTCTACAGCTCATTACTTAAATAATCAAATGCTGACACAAAATTGAAATTTTCATAAGAGGTTGGATAGCTACCCAAATATCTCGAATTACCGCCTACAAGAATGCTTGCTTCTCTATTTCGCTATAATGACTGTTGAGTGTTGACTCACATAAAGCTTCAACAAGATCTATAATCGACACATTCACCCCAACATCGGGCGGCTAACTAATATTAAACACATACGTTCCACACTTAACCAAGTATTATTGTATTATGTAACCAGCTATCTCAAAGCTTGATGGGGGAAGATCCAACATGATATTGTATTGCCGCATCGAACCCGGGTATCATTCATCTTACACTAGTGAATAATATTGTCAGGACACGGCTACGGACCGTGACAATCCTCGCTTGGGAGGTAACAACATTTATGAACTTTTGCTGGTACAATATATAATCCAAACTTTCGAATATTGACAGCAATGATTGCTTTCGCTGTATGTGGGGTTACTCCCGTACTCCCACAAAAAAAGGTCGATTAAGTACTGAGAAGGAACAAGGAGACAGGGTACTTAGAACAGAGTAGGTTATCCGAGCCTTACAATCTCTCCCTCAACTTCAGGGCCACTTCAGGCCGAGGTGTCGGATACTTAACATACTTAATTAAATACTCAGTACCCACTCAGGGAGAATAATAGGGAATAATTCTGGTCCTGATGGAACTGATAACGAGAGTTTGGAGACATTCCTTTGACACGGAATAATCGGGCCGGGGACCATGGAAGGGACAACGCCTGCCTCGTGCTGTCACCGCACTACTTGATAACACCCGGATAAGGTTATACGACTGAAACCTGGGGACAAAGTCGGCAAATGAGAGGGACGAACAATAAGTGAGTGTAATAAAGTCAGTGCTAGTGACTAGCCCATCAGCAAGGTACCTGGTAACGGGTCCAGGACGGATGTCAGGTGGCACTGAGTTAGTACCTTTCTCTCCTTCCTGAACCTTCCATTTCATATATTATTCAGGTTCACATCACATCCACTTCCCAGTTCCCCCTTTACCCCGGACCTCTCGCTACTGATGTCAACCCGTTACCAATCACTACCTCCAATTTAGACTTTGAGTAGCAACCTTTCTGCGCTGAAACCTTGATTAATTGATATTTTGGCAGGATGTAAAAGGGGCATTTATGGGTTCCCATTGGAGCCTCTGTTGGAAAGAGAGGGTTGAGTAGATAAACCTGGCATTCTTCCTCAGTTCCTCGATGTAAAGGTAACGTACAGTCGGTAATGATGCCGCCCTTTTGGTACGGTCTTTACACGTGTCAAAATCTAAGGGAGATAGAGAGCTAGTGGTTGATGATCAGAGAGTTCAGCATTCCGACAACACACATTCCTTGCTAAGTTGGGACCTGGATAAAGTCGGAGCCCCTCCTAGTTCCGTGCTCTGGAGGTGGTTCCATCTCACCTCACGGCAACTTACGGCAACTTATCCAAAATATATCCCTCTGAAACATGCCAAGAATGTTGTGCTGTCCTCGTAAAACATGCCGTTTCTTCATACTTTACTACCAACTGGGATGACACTCTCAATCGAGCTGGTTTGCCGATGTTCATTCTACGCCGGCAATTCGACAGTTGGCATCTGTCAAAACTCTCTCCGTGAGGCGAACATTATCATCGTACTCCGTTAAATATATACTTCATATTATAACTGTGATAATACGACCATGTAAACACACTCCTACCTAACCAATCGTCTGCATTCCCCAACATCACATGACACCCACTCCTCCACTCACAGCCCGAGTTCAGATCACGTGAGGGGAGGTTAGCCAATGGCAAAGCTGACTGCAGGAACTGTCAAGTGTCAAACTGTCAACACTGCAAACTTGTCATATGCCAACCCGGAGAGTGCTCCCAACTACCTCTAACTAAATGTCTATAGTGTTTTGCAGCTCCCACTATTCTACCACCGCCGGGGTAAGCGTCCGGAGTGTGTGTCCGTGTTTAACGACCGTGGGGGTTAAATATATATTACAAGTTCTTCACATTCCACGATACTGGGTTTAACTTTAGACTCAAATTCTTGTTGTCATCTGTCATCTGCCTCACAATCAGCGCATCTCGGTACTAATAACCCTGCCAAGTGCCCACCAATCAATTGACAGGCCGTTATGATCCCACCAATGGGAGGGCGGGGATAAGATCACGCGACACGTCAGTTGCCTCGTCTCGGCTTGTCACTGTGTAAAGTTGAATCAGAATAGATGTTAAACTGGGGTAGTCAGATCGACTTGCTTTTTAAACATTTAGCACCACGACAAGCAAATCTGAATTACTTTATAGTAATTTGACAAGTAGAAAATTAACGAAAGTTTGTACAGCTAAGTGTTTACGCTAATCGGAGACGCGCGGTGCCGAATGGCGGAATAAGATAAGGATCACATGACACGCCACGTGTCCTGAACTTTTTAAAGACGTTCAACCGAGACCTGCCAATTGCTATTGGGAACAGTCACAATGTCACAGTTGTGTGCAGTGCATCTCATCTATTGTTAAAACTTTATTGATATACAACTATTGTCACGTGTAAAGCAGGCAGTCTGAGAGAGCGACGCACTGTACAGATTAGTGATAAATCTGTAAAGCAGATTCCTGATATAACAGCAGCTAGCTGGATATATTATATAATATATGATATGCTGAGCTAGCTCTCAGTATGCTGTGAGGGTGGGGGAGAGAGAGAAAGAGAGATAGCTGGAGAATTCTGGAGACCCGGGGTAAAAATAGCCGTTGTCAGGTTGTCAGTCCCCCGACACATTCCCTACATAGTTGGCGAGTTAAAAAAGTGCTCCGTGCAACTAAAACTATGCGCTGTTAAGTAGCTGACGTGGCCACCGAAACTAGGAGTATTTTCGGCCGTCCCTATAATTGGTGATGGGACCCTACAGTTTTAGAGGGTAAAGTTAGAGAATGTGTGTGTGACGAGCAATGTGGACACGGAACAAGGGGCAGTGGGCAACATATTCTGACAATAGGACCCGACGTAGCATTCTACAAAATATGGAGAGAGTAGTATCTTTGACAATATGACAGATATTGCACAATAGGCCCCATTTTAGTGCAGGAGAGAATAATACCGGGGTAGCATAATACATCCAAACAGGTCAAAAGTCTGAGCTCTGACCTAAGGGAGGATTTCACTTATTTAAGCTCCCTGCAAGCAGACATACTCGTAGCTAGCAACGTCGGAGATACACAATGAACGATGGTGTTCAATCAAACTTGGAGGTGTCACTTCGGGTAAGTGGGTAGCACCCTGGAAAAATGGATGCTACAGTAATTCTTTCCTCAGAATCGCTGCGGCAGTGATACCAGAGGAATGAATTGACAATAGGTGATCTGAGGTACCGACAGTGACATGAGTCTACTTTAGTCCAGCTCACTGGTCCTTGGTGCTGTCACTCACACGAGGGAAGCAGCATATTGAGTACCGAGCACGGGAATAATCCCGGAGAGATGTTACCGATACGGCCAGGAGTTGAGCAGGAAGCCAACCAGAAACTGTGAGCACCGTAAGTGCTATATACCCGACACTAAACTTGATGAAGTTATTTTAACAAGCCCTGAGGGGATGTGGAGGGCTCTAGGAGTGTTAGTTGAGAGCTCTACACCGGGTCTTAAGTAGTAACATTGCTTGGGAACGGGGGCTAATCATGGTTGGCAGGGAAACAGGGCATTGTCTAGGCGACAGTCATGTAGTTCAAGAGTCAACAGGGCAATCTTGTGAGGAAAAGGTTTAGAATTCCTCTTCTGGATTCATGGCAGGCAATGTTTTGTGGTGGTTTAATCAAATAAATGCTGGGTTATGATTGGTTGAAAGTGACAGCATTAAAGGACAAGCACCTGACAGTGAAGCATAAAAAGAAATGAAACTCCCTGGCAGTGAAGCAGATTTAGAGGAACAGTGAAGCAGGTTGTTTAGAGAAACAGTGAAGCAGGTTGTGTAGAGGGACAGTGGAGCAGGTTGTTTAGAGGGACAGTGAAGCAGGTTGTTTAGAGGGACAGTGAAGCAGGTTGTTTAGAGGGACAGTGAAGCAGGTTGTTTAGAGGGAACTGCAGCGTGCCACCCACCTAGTTGCCCAGCCAGGCAGTAGCTGAACTGTTTGACTGTAACAATAGCAAAGCACGAATACTCGGACACTTAGCAGTTTTTAACATTTTCTCAATAACTTTTGACAGATTCTTGTCATATTTCTGGAAGTGATCAGGGACTTTTTAAGTTTTTAAAAGTGCATTCCTACTCCAGGCTGACAACGGCCACAAACTCAAAACTGGCATGTTCGCGAGTAGAGCTTCCTCCTAGAGTCAGGTGCTGAGGAATGGAGGGGGTAAAATTGAAACATTTGTTATGTGGACCGGATACTTCTCATCGGTTTCACGGTCTCTCAGACCCCCGGCTCCGGCTCATCTAAATCAAATTTGAGATGAAGGAGCACGGCTGATAATCTAATTGAACGTTGACAATGCTGTTAAAAAGTTCTCCTAAACAGAGGGCTGCATTATTGGAGGTAGTCCTTCTTGCTGATTGGTCCCCACTGACGCTGTCAGGCCCAGATAAAATATAATGACTGAGATAACATTTAATGGGGAAAACAAAGCGCGGGTATTCGGTGAGGCTGTGACGAGGTGGCGCCAGCGAATCTGTTAAAAGGCTGATAAGAAAGTGGGGGAGAATGGGGAGGGTAATTTGAAGTGTTACACATCAAAGTGTTTTCACTTTACTGTCAAACAACCCCCTGTAACAGGCTCAGTGAGTTAGCGGTACTTAACACATAACACGTGACAGATTGACAATGTAATAAACACGGTTTCACCCTGATACTCTCACTCACTCCGCGAATCCGCCAAACTTTCAAAGGTTTTCGCTTTGCCGTCCTATTTTCAGTCAAAGAGCACGGAAGCCCGATTTCAAATATGTCAAATTAGCCTAAAATTCCATGGATCGGTGACACATCATTATCGAAATTTCAGGACTCCCCAGGATCAGGTATGCAGGATTTGTATGGTTTCCGCATGTGACGGCAATGCGTGTCAGTGTGTCAATCCGTCTGTCAGGTCGTAATTACTAGGCATACCCTGTTTCCTACACTCACTATTATCGTGGTTCAATGTGTCAAAGATGGCGATACAGCTTCCAGCACGAAACACTGTCAATAATGTAGCAAATAATACCAAACTCCCCACGTGCTGGCGGAGCGCCAATCGCACTCTCACGATCCTACACGTGACACGAACCTGCCAATAGGAGGCCTCGGCGCTGACAACATGGGGCTCTGTACTTACTGACATTATTAAAAGGTTTGAATTATTGAAAGTTAAAACGATTGACTGAACACACACGAGGCGCTGGCTTAATAGATCATGTAACACCACAACTCCCCTTAACTCCTTAATTATACTACACGGCAAAAATTAAAATTAATAATCGCAGTCAACTAACGGACTAATAACTTACAACTCAGCAATACAACAAATATTTAATTGCGGAGACTGGAGTGCTTTCAAAGGACGTAATAAATCTTTAAATCGAGAGATGATTAGGAAACATATCGTATAATCAATATATCAAGCGATCCATTCTGCCCAAATGATTGCCAATTAAACCTATTGATGGCACACTGACGTCAAGCGGGGAGAATCCAGACCTGGCCGAGCATTTGAATTCGTTTCATGTTCAAGGCACCTCAAACTCCTCAAACAAGTAAACTCCGGTATATTGCAACGCGATCAGACATGTTTCCCGATTTTCAGGTCAGTTATACCATGGCTCTGAAGACAGCAAATAACGGCAGCAAATAGTCATTCTCTGAGGACATTGCAATCTAGGACGGCACTGTTCACTATTTAACCGAAAAGTACTTCCAGACAGACAGACCAGTTTACCTCAAGAGAGAGAGAGAGAGAGAGGGCCGGATCCGAACTTTGAAAACAGTAAAACGCTGCCTTGCTGATAATGCGATACCTCAAGCAATATGTCAACATCGCTGCTGATTGGCGGACCGAGTCGGCCTTTTGAATAGTATTGGTAGGGGAATACTACACAAGTAACTACAATCTCTGTGGTGACGTTGGAGGTCAGTCTCCAGCTAAATGAGCTCTTTAAGAGGTCTAAAAGTGGTGGACTCCCTCCCCATCAGCTGTCAATAGAGGTCTACACTAAGCAGCACAATACTATATATTACAAAACGTTTACAGTGCCCATTTAAACCGTGCATTACGGAGTTGCCCAATAATAATTAACCAACCCGAATCAGGGTGCGTTGCCAGGGTACCGTATAGTCCGACAGGAGGGGGGAACGCAGGGTTTACCACACATGACATTATATATAATATCATTTACTCAACTGCTTGTATTGGACCAATGGTAAATAAATGATGATATTATGGGGGGAGTATATAACAATGTGACTTATACCTTGATTTAATTGAGGGGAAGTCTGGGAATTCTCTTCGACTCCGAGTCGTTTCAGGAGGTCTTCCCCACTCAGCCGAGTCTGAAATATTGTCCAGATGTTACGATCGAACAATGTAACTGCGATTACTGGCAGAACTTCCAAATTCTATAATTACGATTAGCTGATTACATATTATTGCTGACTGCCTAGCAACTGTATAAAGTACAAGGTCTAATATAATTGGGCAGTCTCCAAACGGATGACAAAATATCAAGATTTTAAAATTATTGATCGTACAGTAACTGTTTTAAACAAACTCTTGGTATCAAAAAAAGTTGCTTAAATAACAGAATTGAAAAGTGGGAGTACCTGAATGCTGGAAACGTAGTGAGACTTGAAGGTTTTGGAAACCTCCTGTACCCGGTCCAGCTCTGATAAATACATCTTCATAACTTGGATACCCTTCAGAATCTGGGTAGGAGTTAAGTGAGGTATGGTTTTAGTGAGGTATGGTTTCGTGGTTTACGGATATTTAAAAAGCAGACGATAAAACTGTGATTCCCAGGATTTGGCAATTTTTCCAATCGAGCAATCTCTGAAGTGCATGACATAACCAGAAATACGATTCGGATTAAATCATTGAGACTGGAAAGAAAGCGCAGGCAGATTAGAAACGACTTGCGTTACAGCTCTACTGACATCTGAGACAAAACCCTAATGCGGTAATGCAATCAATCAAGCAATGTCCAAATGTGCCTGTTTTTGTCATTATCAGTGCCAACTCGACTCTGTGTGACGGCTACTTGACTCACGGAAGTCAGAAATATCTCACATTGTTCTAATATCGGACACATTCCCATGTCAACAAATATCATCTCACCGCACCACCCTCCAGGACACACAAGAAAAATGTGAGGAGGTCTGATTCCGTGGCCTGCCATGTAATTTGAGGCTGCCTAATCTAGTACCACTATAAAACCTGTTCCAATATTACATATTGTACATAGTAGGATACTTATATTGTAATGCATTAGAGGGGAGGCCCACTAGGCAATAGGTACCATGAGATCATTGCGAAACATCTTGACAATTTGACACTTTCTTATTGAGGTACGAGATGTCCTTTATTGACAGCTTGCCTCATGTAACAGGAACTGCGTTCAATTTTTATTGGGTAAAAATGAACAGGTAATGAACGTGAACAAATTTGTGGGGCAATGTAAGTGTGACGGCGAGAAGTGACAGACTGGGTGACGTGGGTGTTGTTACGATATTCGCCGTGTTTTGACACGTGATAGTGTTTTTATTTTGGGATTTCTAAGAAAGATAGCAGACGTTGAACGAGAAAGGAACGGAGTAAATGAAAGGTTTTACTTTTTAGGAGAATACTTTAAAGAAGGAAAAAAACAGAACTGGAGATATCTATTCTCACATTCCAGAAGTCTGCCAATTCGAGGTAAAACCAGAAAGTACGGCCTACAAAATTATAACATACCAGTGTATCTGTTTCATCGTCGCCGGAGAAACAAGACTTTGTAGAGGAACAGATCTGCTGAAAAAAGAGATTGACATCTTCGTTAGCAAGTTTGGAGAGCTCCTGAGCACTGGTGGTGGTCTCCCCACATCGCTCCAGAAGCTGCGAGAGAAGAGGTAACATTGGGTGCTTCCTCAACTTGTCCTTCACTTGCTCTATGTCTGATCTTTGTCCTGAAGACATACCTTGGTTATAGGAGAAATAATCAATGTATGTGAGCTGGCCATATTTTCCGTGTGATTCTTATGGGAACGTCGTTAACCGCCGTCACACCAGTTATCAATTTAACCATATTGACAAATCATTAATATAACGATATTAAGCCGGTTTTGGGCATTTCCACCTCAAAATAACGGACCCACGCTATCATTGCTTTATTAACATGGTCCATAATATCAGTCCTATCCAGCAGCCAGGATAAACTACACCATACAGGACATTTAAGTTACTGGCACTCTGTTACATGTCATAGATTTCTCTCTCTTTGCCTGACAGCTCAGAATGAGGAGAAATTGTAATTATACATTGATAGGTGGAGGGTCATATGAGAATCATTGATACGTCAAAAAATGTCGCGCACTGGAATGGACTGAATTCGACATACTAAATCTACTGTAAGTAATTTTCATGGCATAATTAGAGGATTTGACAGCATGATGCTGGCGAGATAACCAAGAAGGTTGGCAGTTTAAAGAGTTAACGGAGTACTTGAAATAGCAGATAAAGCCTTAAATTAGAACGAATATTTTAGGAGCAGTATTGAGGTATTTGGCTGACTGTTGTCCAGAAATTTTTGTAAAGTCAGTGCAGTTGACAAAGGAGACACGTCATGGTATATGCCAGGAGGAACACACATTGACACTTCCATTACAATAACACTGCACCTGTCACAAGATATGTATTATTTTCATAGCAACTTCCAGGGTCGTTAACGAAAAATACCATAATTTGTATCATGTATCCGTGGCCACGGTGGTGTGACTGAAGAGTTTTAGCAGTTTTAAAGTCGCTGTGATGGTTACCCCACACTTACCAATATTTTTGACTTGACTCATGAGCAGGTCCATTGGGTTGCCTGGTTTCTTGCTTGGGTCACTTCGTCCAGTACAGCTGATTGAAAAGAGTTTTAGATGATACACTCCTTATAAAACCAGCTTGATATAATATGGTGTTATAAAAATCGATTTCAGTGAATGAATATTTTTGATGCTTACGCTTTGAAAGCACTGTGAGTTGAACTTGGCACAGGTAGCGAAGAGCTAGCTTCAGCATCCGTTACGTTTACTTCCTCCGTGTTTGGCTCCTAAACATTTGTTTCTTTGATTATACGAAAATTTTTAAAACAAAATATAAAATCCAGCCGATGTTAAGGAAGCGAGAGTATGGTGGTGCAATAATTTGTGCCAACTGACCTTTCTTGATGTATATGTTGTCCGGTCATCAATTTCCTCCAGCTTTCTTTTGAAACAGTTCAAAGGTATATTTTCTTGTTCTTGAAACTGCATTATTGCCATTGCATCTGCAATATTATATCAAATGTTACAACCAACACTAGACCAAAACAAGGTGATGTAAAAAGATTAAATTGACACAGCAAGGAGTCCAAGACAAATTGTTAATTAAAAGTTAGACAACAAATCATTCAAAGCAGAGAGAAACAAATGTGATTTTCAATCAATCAAGTAAAGTGCTACACAACATAGCAATACGACAATAAGTATCATTTACAAAAACAATGGACACCACAAATTAGTTGAGTTACTTTGTTTTCTCCAATAATTATCGACAACAATTAACATCTCACCAAGTCTCATTAAGTCCCTTTAAAGGGGAACAAGCCATTGAAATATGGGAGGTGTGTGAATAGCCGATGGTTATCAATGGTGAAAGTATCTATTCAATTAACTGTGATAGTTTATCTCATGGGAATGTTTGATGTTTTATTATAATTACTAACCTGATTAAATGATGATTATGGCACACTATCATAAGAATTTTTCTCGGATATTTAACTATCTACTAGTATACAATGGACAAACATCTGTAAAAGAATCATTCGATTAACTACTTTGATTAACTACTTTGCAAAGGCTGGTTTTCAGCCCAATTGTGTCCTAAACAGTTAGTTCAAGTAATGTAACATTATTCATGGCATAAAAGCACTAAGATCTGAAGCCCAGAATATCAAAAGAAACTATTGGACGCCATAAATTATGACATCATTATTCATTACTGATGTAAAGATAGAGAAATACCCCATAGAAGCTATGCTAATTGTTCAAAAAAGTAAAATACAATTTTTATTTTCCACAGAAGAATCAATACATATTGAATTATAAATATCCGATAATTCCATTAATAACCATTAAAAGTTGCTTTGTCATTTGTAAAATCAAAAACGAAAAGCCCTACGCTGAACGCGCGTGGCATTTTTTCTGCAGCTGCCTTGCTTCAAGCTTGCAGCCGCTAACATCAAAGCCGCCGCGCGCGCCCAGTGCTGGGGTGCATTCTCATTAACAATTAAACTTGGTCAAAGATATTTATATACAATTCCTAAATTAAATCAATAATCATGTTAATATGAGTATTCAACACTACTCGACAACAAATATTTGCCGGCCCATCAACGATTCAGTCGCCGAAACAAAAATCAAATGTTTGCTTTTTCGTTTCGGGGACTGTTTGAACTCAGTACTATATTCGACTAATCACACTTTATAATGGTTAAAATACAAAGTAAAAAGATTTTCCTCGATGGGCCGGCATTCGCAACCGCGAAACGTTTTGAGTACGACAAACGATGACACCACCACCAGCCGTTAATTGATAAGTCCATGGGTGACGATAGCGATCTCAATTCCCAATATCGTGTGACCCAACAGAGGGGATTGTGGAAGGACACGTACATTTTTCATTAACACGTGCCCTGATTACCCCCTCCGTTGAGCTACTATACGGGGAACGTTGACCGCCAGTCTGTAGTCAGATCGTTAATAAATTATACTTTAAAATTGGTTGCCGGGTGATGGTGTCAGTGAGAGACGTTAAGTTAGGTGAACATTAGTACAAAAATATAATAATCTAGCAGTTTATCTCAAAGTTAAAATCACTATTTGTTAAAGTATACAAACAGTTCTATTCAAAAGAACAAAGTCCGAGAGCAGAGAGAAGATTTGGAGACTATACACGCATATGTGGGGTTTAAATTTGGTATTAGTAATTTTAGGGTTCGACCGAAAATGTTGGTCGGTTGGTTAATAGGGAGCAGTCACTGTCATTAGAATTATCAGATTAGGAGCAACAATTAGAATCAAATTGAACATATTGTGTATTGTGTATTGTGAAATCAGTGAAACCTAGAATTATGGCGGTAAAATGCTAGCGCGCCTTGTTATGCGCGCTAACATACTAGCTGCTGAAAATAAAGAAGTATATGCATGATAATGTCGTTTGGCGTCAGCGCCTGCCGATACCTGGATTATATTGTGTTTAACTTAGAATTCAGTGAAATTTTTGTCATTCCATTCAGCACCATACCTGTTTTCAATTGCCTCAGTCAATGAGCTGGCAAATACAAATCTTAAGCATCATTTCTAAAAGACATGTGCATCTACCATAAACTTATAGAATTTGATTAAGATAACTTTATTTATCCTTACATCCAAGCTCCCTATATTCCACACCATTCAAACTGTTCTTTACTAAAAATTTGTTAACTATGTCAGGCACAATTTCATTATTCAATGTTTAGTGACAGGCCAGGGAAAATCATTTTACGCCATTTCAAGAAAATCTGTTACAGGTTCTGTTGCAAATGAAGCAGCTAACCGAAAGTGCTGGTGCGCAAGTATCAGGCTTGTGGTTTTCAATTCCAAAATTTTCATGCAAGTGCAACCTATATTCTGAAATGATGATCATGATGACTGACAGTTTAGGGATTTCCAAAATGTTCGAACGATCGATTTTCCGGATTACCAATTGCAGTATATTTCACAGTATATTTAAAAGTTGTTACGGAAGCTCATGTTGGGTTCACCCCATTTAACCTTATTTCATCATGTGAATGATATGACTGTTGACGTTATTCTTCTTATCACATCTACATTGCTTGGATATTCAGGGCAGAACCTGACTGATTTATTGTGGGATATTATTGAAATTTTACGAGAAACACAATACAACAGATTTCAAAGTGTTAGATACCATAACAAATACACTACAATTTTGTTAAGGAGTAGAAGTCTACCAATGGCATTTCTTTATACTATGTCAATGTCCAGTGTCTTTTAGGCTCACATCAATGTAAACAGACATTTTGTGGTTCTAGTGGTATGGTGCCGACCATCGGTATGTGGTAGGTGCCAATATGTAAAATATTTAAAATTATCAACATAACTACTGTTTACTACATTACTACACTGTCATATCCTATAAGGAATAAAATCGAGAATAAAAAACCACAGCTATCAGGTGTGACCATCCAAGAACACATGCGGCCTCTCCGCATCAGTAGATTATTAACCTACAATTACAAGTAACTCCAGTCAAAGAGCAGCGGCACCTATTTAACTGCAGTTTGATAAACTGATAAAATGTATTATAATGTATTCATTGGTCGCTTTATGGATGATGATCAATCACTTTAGAGTTGACTATCATGTGACTTTGAACTTAGTTAACACGCTCTCCAGCTGGCCCTAAGGGACTATTTAAAACTTTTACTTTTTACTCTAACCCCAGTCTTAACCCTAACCCAGTAACTCAAGCATTTACCTGTGACCTGGGGACCCCAGGCTATTATGTTCATAAACACAATAAAGATTCGGCGGAATGACAGGCCGCTGAGCGCCGCCCAGTAACTGAAGCATATGCTAAAACCTTACCACGGTACCTCAGGCTTTTGTGATCATGAATACGTTGTCGAAACTCGTCACGAACTAAAACGTAACGGGTGATACTCGTAAAATATTTGTTCCATATATTAGGAACAGGACCGTTGACGCGACGAGTCCAACTCGGCGCGCGTCCTGGTAGGTTATTAATTACTACAAACTAAAACTCCTACTAGCTACATTTGTAACTTACTAAAGCAGCAGTGCAGTAATGAGAGCGTATCACTGATATAAAATAATCAACTATAGATTATGTATTCAACTACACGCCATTTTTTAAATTGTAAATGTGCGTCGTGAGAAAAAGTTTCTTTTGTTGTCTATTCATGATATTGGATATATATAATAACAGGCTAGGAAACGTCTGAAAATAATTTGACTATAATGCGCGCGCGCCAATCCCTATGAGCGGCCGAGCGTGCTAAATCACTCTACAGTCGATCTTCGAGATTGTTCTAAAAGGGCCCCGACAGTTGAAACCAACTTTAATCGATGTATTTTCGGACGCTGATTCCGAATCACCCGCTATGACATAAGGTTAAAATGCTCCCCTGACGAGATATTGGCGAAAAACTGTCTCGATCACGTGATATGACCGTATAAGGAAGTTAGTCCAATTTTTCGTTAGGGTTAGGGTTTCAGCATATGCTTTTGTTAAGGATTGGGTTAGGGTTAGGGATGGGATCAGATTAGAGGGTTAGGGTTTAGAAAAGTCGTTCAGGACCAGCTAGAGAACAAGTTGTAAATGTCACGTGACAGTCGAGTGTAGAGTGATTAATTATCATCCATGAGCGGCGATTCTAGCTAGCTTTGATTTTTTCAATTTCTTTACCTGTACTGGATCGGAGATCCCAGGCTCAAGGCTATGATTTTCATAAACGATGCACAAACGAATAAAGATTCGGCGCATAATGACATGCTGCAATACAAACGCCGCCCAGCAACCATTATCACGCTTTTTGAATCACATTTATGCGGAGAGAACCGAGCAATAGACTAACAGTGAAGAAGCTTTTATTTACCCGGTACGCCAGTCCCTGTGCGCGGCGCTCTTTTCAAGCTCTTCCTGAACATGAAGTGAGCAATAGATTAGCAAGCTAGGTAAGAACAACAAACAAGTTGCGCATGCTAGCTACTTATCTGATCTTTCGAGCGCGCGTAGCTAAATCGCCCAATTGCAGTGGTGCGCGCCCGCCGTCCGGCTTGCTCTATGCAGTGCCTGGTCTCGCTTGCAAAAGCGCGCGACCGCCAAAGTGTGAAACAAGTGCGTCACGCAGAACGGTATAACGCGTAAACTTATGGCTAGGTGTAACCGTCCGGCAGTAAAAACTATTTGTTAAACAATGAACAAGCGCGCCTGCAGTGGCGCGAAAGCACATGGTTAAAGAAAGTGTGAATGGCTATTCTGGGTTAGTTTGTGGTTAAAAGTTTTTGTACTGGGGACCCCAGGCGCTCTATAATATGCATAAATGAAAATACATATAAATAAAAATGCGACGTAATGGCAATACAACATACAAGCCGCTAGCGCCGCCTAGTAAGCTAAAAGTTGCTCTAACCAAAGCCCTTTCGCTTGCAGTAGCGCGCGACTGCCGAAGGCGGCACAGCATATTACTTGTAAAATAAGCGCGTC